AACAACAGTTGCACGGCATCATCCTTCGTGCTTTTACTCTCGTTCTCACCAAATCAATCATATGAAGTACACGGCATTTTCCTTCGTTCTTTACCTCACATAATGATGGCACGGAATGACCCTTCGTGCATTAACATTTATATCATGGCACGGAATGAACCTTCGTGCATTAACATTTANAATTATAATACAAGACTCACGGGCATGTTCGACCCCCAACGTATAGATACTCGTCACCATGCCTATACGTCGGACACATCACATAACAAGTAGCAAATATACTCAACTCCTATTCCTTCAAGCTAGGGTAGACCAAACACTTACCTCGAACTTCCACGACCAACTCAATCCTTTGCCTCGCGAATTCGTGTCCGAAATTCTCAAATCTAGTCATAAACAATTCGATTCAGTCAATAAAAATTATAAGAATTAATTACATATGAATTTCTACATTTTCCATTAAAATCCGAAATTTAACTCAAAATTGCTCGCGGGGCCCACGTCTCAGAATCCGACGAAAGGAGCAAAATATGAACACCCATTCAACCACGAANTTCTTGAAAAACCTTCGAAAAATCACCAAAATCCGAGCTCTCTAGGTCAAAATATTAAATAAAAACCTAAAACCTCGTATTTATAGAGTACCCCTCGGATTCCGACACCGCTGACCGCACAAAATGACCGCGGTCCGCGCAAAATCAGCAGGGTCCGCGCAGAAACGTCCGCGGTCGCGCAGGCCTTGCTCTGCAGGGACAGGCTTTAGTATTTTGGCCATAACTTTCTCTACATATATCCAAATTGCGATATCTTTACCTTTCTGGAAACTAGACACGAAGGGCTACAACTTTCATTTTTGAATCACCTCAAAATTCCTTGCGGATCAAAAGATGAGCTTCCGAAGTAGGACCGGTGACCTGCAGATTCTTCCCCTGCGCGGCCGTGCGCCCAACACGAGAAGGAGCGCGGTCCACGCCGCCACTGCTGCCCTCGCCATTTTTCTAAGTTCCGGGGTGTCTGTACTCGCTCAAAACTCATCCGAAACACACCCGAGGCCCCCGAGACCTCAACCAAAAGCACTAACAAGTCTGAAAACACATCACGGACTTAGTCGAGGCCTCAAATCACATCACATATCATCAAAATCACCAATTATGCATGGATTCAAGCCTAAGAACTTATTTAATTTTCAAATTTCACAACCGATGCCGAAACACATGAAAACTAGTCCGAATGACCTCAAGTTTTGCAGACAAGTCCAAAATGACATAACGAAGCTACAGAAACTCTCGGAATTCCATTCCGACCCTCGGATCAAAATCTCACCTATCAACCGGAATTCGCCAAAATACTAACTTCGCCAATTCAAGCCTAATTCTATACCGTACCTCCAAAACCACTTCCGATCACTCTCCTAAGTCACAAATCACCTCCCGAAGCTAACCGAACCATCAAAACTCACATCCGAACCCTCTAACACATAAGTCAACATCCGGTTGACTTTTTTCCAACTTAAGCCTCAAAATATTCTTTATATTTAACTCCGAATCTTCCGAAAACCAAACTCGACCTCACATGCGAGTCATAATACATATTACGAAGCTGGTTGAGATCTTAAGTCGTTGAACGAGGCGTTAATTCTTAAAACGACAAGTCGGGTCGTTACAATAATGGGCAGGCCTCTATCTTATTCTCCATTTAAATAGTTGACTTGGTTCCAGTTCCTATTTGTCCAAGCTTGGTGGATAGAGTTACGTGGTACCTATACTGTTGGGAGCTAGCACGTAACCCATGGAATTAGTCGAGGTGTGTGCAAGCTAGCCCAGACACCTCCACCACCACCACCAACAAATCCAGTGTATCTCACACAGTGGGGTCTGGGGAGGGTAGTGTGTACGCAGACCTTAACCTCGATCTCATAGAGATAGAGAGACTATTTCCAATAGACCCCCGGCTCAGTGAAGCCATAGCACAACAATAATGAAAAATAAACAGCCAGAAACAACAATGAGGAGCCATGGAAAAGAAGCATCGAATAAGCTAGCCCAGACACCACGATTATAAAAAAAATTGGCTCGTTGTTATCTATACAAAGTGTTTTACTTTGCCTTCAGTGGCTTATTTTGTTTTCTGTACGTTTAGAAGAAAGTAATTTGTGTTCCAAATTTGTATGGTTTTGACATTATATTATCTGATTTTGTGTTATTCTTGTTTCATTTCTTGGGTGTAGAGAAGGAAAATTTGTGCCTGTATGGACATCCGAATGAAACCTGGGAAGTCAACCTTCCTGCCGAAGAAGTTCCACCTGAGCTCCCAGAGCCAGCACTTGGGATAAATTTCGCGAGGGATGGAATGACTCGTAGAGATTGGCTTTCACTGGTCGCCGTGCACAGTGATTGTTGGTTGCTTTCTGTGGCTTTCTTTATCGGAGCTCGTCTTAACCAAAATGAGAGGTACTCTTCTAAGATACAGGTTCTCTCTTCACTGTTTCTGTTGTCTAGCTGTGATCTACCTGACCTCCACCAGCTCTCTCTTCACTGTAATTTAAACTAATATGGTCCTTAACTCTTAAAAGGGTGAATAGGGTTAGTTATTTTTCCTGTATGGATTGTCTCTCTCTTACTCCCTGTGGTTCCTGCTATTCTTTTGTTGTCTCAGGCTAAAAAATTAGATAACTATTTATGAGGATGTAAGTTCAGTTGCTAACTGGCTAAAGTTGGAACATTTTAGTGGTTAATGGACTGAACTTTAGCAGCGAGTCTGTTCCTTATCCTTACTCTAAATGTCCTTTTGGCTGTATGCAGTTTTGGAGAAATAATCAATAATCAACTACGCCTTAATCGCAAACTAGATTTGAATCCTCTATATATTTCGTTCTATTTGAGCCCATTTCAAGCTAGCAATGGCGAGTAATTTGTCTCTTAAACCTTAGGGGTTCTCTAGAAAAGTGATTCTCTAAATCTCATACTTATCCCTACCCAGACCTAATATAAGTTATATTGCAATCTTACTATTATAAAACAGTTCTCCTTAACTAAATGTAACTTCCGTCTAGAATTTCTAAGGGTTTCAAGAACTGTTAGCAAGTCATGATTCGAGGAATCTATAGCATTTGATTTAGGCATTAATAAGTAACATGAATGTGCAGGATGGAATGTGCTTACTGATGCTCTTACTATGTTTAACTATACACAATGGAAGACCATGTTGATAATATTTTCCACTGATATGTCTATATCGGAGTACTGTCTAATTCTACAAATTTTCCTTCTTAATGGGTGCCGCCAGGATGTCATTATAGGATCCATTGGAATGTAAAGTGAGTTTTTTATGGGGAAACTCTGTGGGAAAAGAACATAGTTATTCCTTTTTCAGTTTTAGATTTAAATGAAACATTTATCTGTTTAAGCTATCTGCTCTGTTACAACCTGGTTGCTATTTCAATGTTGGTAACACGAACTCTATCATTCAAAATGGTGCTTTTCTTTTTATTCAGAATATATATGTTTGTAGATGTTTCTTATGGGTGGAGGGAATGTATTCTGTTGGTTGTATATGTTAGTCATACTTGTCCGATAGAGAGGTTGTACATTGTGCTTGATTGTATGTTGTCTCCCTTGTGCATTTGCTTACTAAAATAATCTTTAATTGGAGTTAGAAGTCAATCCATAACTCACGCTGTCCGTCAAGAGCAAAACTTCACTGCACAACATTTTACCTTTTTTATTATCTCTTGTGAATACCATCCTGTTGTTCGCTGATTTTAGCTGTGATTTAAAGTTACTAGAGATTGTTGTAAGAGCTTTTATACAATTCTTTACACATTGGCTATCTTTGAGGAGATAATCTTCTGGACATCTGGTGTGCACTCCTCTCCATTGGTCCGTCCTTTACATTTCCGAAATCTGGCCATTTTATTAGAAGTTGCATATTCCTTCTAGTCTGTAGGTCCATGGGCTTATTTTAGCTGCTATATTGCAGTGATTTAGATTTATAAAAAATGTAATGATGTTTTTGTACTTGATTTGTACTTTGGGATTCTTCTATCTATTGGGGACTCGCCAAGGGGCCAAGGAACTCTTTGCTGTTTATAATTATTGATTGTTGTTAAAAGGAAGAGAAATATAATTTAGTAATATATGTCAGAATGTTCTATATTCATTTTATGTGTTTTGGTAATAGTATAGAATAATCTTCTTAATTATTTCATAATTAGGAATCTCGATATTTAGTTAACTTTACTAATTTCATTTAGTGATGTGCCTTTGTTCTAGTATCCTAAAAGACGGAGCCCTCATGCTTCTTCTTCATCTTCAAAAAAAAAAAAGGACATAAATCTTTATCAAGAAATAAGAAGCCTTCCTGTATATTGTCTATAACCAATTCAAGACAAGTTCTCTCTTCTGTCCTATACCCTTTTACATGGTAAAAGAGGTTATCGTAGTAGAACCTAAATAGCTTGGCCCTACTGGGTGGCGGTGTTGTCAAAGGCGCGTTTAAAGTGAGCTTAAGCCCTGAAGTGAGGCTCAAAACATGTTGAGCGCTTCGCCTCGCTTTGTGGGCGCTTTAGTGTCACATCAAGGCTCTAAGGCATACTTTTCTTTACCAATGAGTGTAACCCTGAAAAGGAGACATTATACAATTGATCTTTCACTTTATCGTAAATTTTTTTCAACTTCTTTGTCCATATATTTGTTATTCATGCTTATGATTATTAGTCTTGTACTACAAATACATATCTTTACTTTTTCTCCGGTTGTGCCTTTTTCATTAGAGCCCATGCTTTATTTGCGCTTTGCGCTTTAAGCCCCAACAGACTTTAGAGCTTTTTTGCACTTTTCGCCTTTGATAACACTGCCGGGTGGTCTTATGTCACCTCCCCTGCCAATTTTCCTTATTGTAATAATGTTACATTTCTTGTAATTTCCTTATGACCATTCCAGTTCATTGCGTCTTCCAACCACTATTAGCTATTCTTCTGTCTTCTTTTCAAGCAAAGCATTCTCTAAAACTTCTTTTCATTCTTCATAATGATATTAGAGTCTGGGTGTTGTATATTTCATCTGAACATTAAATTCCTAATCATTGTTTTAAATCTTTTTCCCTTTATACTACATGCAATTAATGTTTGGGTGATGAGCCCCTCCTTTAAATCTTGAATTTCGGTCGATGTTCCAGCAACTTTTTTGGTTAATATTTAGTTGGGAATTTTTGTATGGCATATTATTCCGGTACTTAAAAATAAATGCCTTACAAGCTGCAATTTCTTTCACTATGTGAATACCAGCGACATTCCGCATGAAGAATTCCAGCACTACTATTTGCGTTAAAAGTATTTATCTAAGTCTTGTTCCGTCCTCGGTTGGGTTTGCATTTGTGACATTTAGCTTTTCAATATTTTCATTTTTGCAGTCCTCTTAATTTTCTTTCCCCTATTCCATCCCTTCATCATTTTCTTGTTGTGGTGGTAGAGGTGACCAAATCACAAAATAGTCTCAGTCTACTGGCCATGTGCAGCCAAAAACAACTATTCCGTCATTTTGTTTTATATGACAGCATTTGAGTGGACACAATATTTAAAAAGAAAAGAAGACTTTTCGTACATACCAAAAAACACACTTAGAACTTGCAGTGGTAGGAGGTGTCACCGTCAATCACGTAAGATAAGAAGTGACCTCAGTCTTCAGATCCTATGTGTGGCACACAGACGAATCTTGCCGATAATGACTCTTCACAAGTAGGCGCCAACTTGAATAGCTTATTTTCCTTCTCAACTCAAGGTGATCTAAATATCCTGTCCACGACCCTCACCTCCCTTGAAAGCGCCTTCGTATGTCTATTTTTCTGAATGGTAACATGTTTTGACATTTCTATGACTATAAGAGCATATCATTTAGGTAAAATGGGAAGTTTAAAGTTAAGAAGTTTCCAAATAGAGAAATATGTCATACTTTTGAAAGAGACTAAAAAGTAAAAGGTGCCATATAAAACGGAACAGAGAATTTCTTTTTTCTTTATTTTTTAGTCTCTCATGCTTGGCTAAAACTTCATAACATGTTTCTGGAGCGTCTCTACTTTATGATGTAACTTTTCTGTGGAGAAGTCTGATATGGAACTTCTTAAGCTGTAACTGCATTTATTTTCACCCCTCAGCAATCATCTGTGTACACTTCCTATTTGGATTTTTTTCTATATGCAAATGTCAGCTACATTTCATCCTTATCAAATCCTTTTTTGTCTTTGTTTTATGTCTATTCAGAAAATCTGTTTGAAATAGTATCCATTACAAAGTTTATCTCCTAGTTTCTGCAATTTGACGAAAGGAATGTGCATAATATGATGTGCTTTATTGGTGTTTAAGAAGGAGAAAGGAATTATTCTGAATCACCACTGCTGCTTCTTGTGTAGGAAGCGTCTATTCAGCATGATCAATGAACTACCAACGGTGTTTGAAGTTGTGACGGAAAGAAAACACGTAAAAGAGAAGCCCACTGCCGATAGTGGAAGCAAATCTCGTGGTAGCACGAAGGTAGGGCCTGCAATATAACCTTCTCTCTGCTGCCTGAATTAGTGGTGCCATTGTATTAATATGCTTAACTCAAATTCTTCAGACTTTTTATGCTCGAGATTAAGGCCAAAAACTCTATATGTAGTTCCTTATAGTTTCTCTTTCAGTATGTCCTGATCTATTATTTCTGTGTACCTCCTGGGCAACTAACGATCTGCCCTTACATTCTGTAGAAATCTACTGATGGACAGGCTAAAAGCACTCCAAAGCTGGCAGATGAACTTTACAAGGAGGAAGAAGAAGAACATGGTGAGACACTATGCGGCAGCTGTGGAGGGAATTATAGTGCTGATGAATTTTGGATTGGCTGTGACATCTGTGAGAGGTGGTACCATGGGAAATGTGTTAAGATAACTCCCGCTAAAGCTGAGAGTATAAAGCAATATAAATGCCCATCTTGCAGCTTGAAGCGGGCAAGACAGTAGTTGTTTCATGAACCATGAGGGGGCCATAAGTGTTATTGATCTGACCATTAACAGAATAGTATAACAATGTTGCATTTGTAATGGTTTCTTATAGTGATGTTTCTTTACGCGGCGCTTGGAAAAGAAATGTAATTTTTATCCTTTAATTCATGTCCGGCTGTTCGCCCAATATATACAAAAACTTTTTAGTTATTGTAAAGGTTCTGTAATGATAATGGATTTGTAGTAGTTGATAAACTAATTGTTGCATCTGGATTCTTGTTCATTATATCTGAATGAGTTTACCAGGTCTAGATTCTGGAAAAGTACTTGACTGTGTCCCATAGTAGTTAGATTTCAAAAATGGGGTTGCTAATTGGAAGTAGCCAGCAATATGAATCCATATATGAAAACAGATTGAATACAAAGATTCATAGGCTAAGGGTGTGTTTGGTACGAAGGAAAATATTTTTCTGGAAAATATTTTTTTCGAAAATAAGTGGTTGTCTTACTTATTTTCTGGTGTTTGGTTAGGTTGCAGAAAATATTTTTTGAAAAATATACAACTTAGACAAACACTATGGGAGACAAAATGGGCAGGGGGGAGGGTGTAGGTTGGGGTCTTGGGGCTGGGTTGGCAGGTGGCGAGGATAGATTCATCAAAGAGAGGCTAAAATAGAGAGAGAAATTCAACAATAGCCAGATTTAAAAGTGGTCATTCAAAAATAGCCACAGTTTCAAAAGTAATCGAAATTTAGCTATTTTTCATGTAAAGATAAATCTGAACGAAAACACTGTTCAAAATCTGGAAAAATACTCTAGCATAATATACTGGAGATCCAGTATACTGGAACTCGTATATTATACTGGAACTATATTGGAGTTCCAGTATAATATATCGGTCCAGCATAATATACTGGAGTTTGGAGCACCGGTGATCTAGTCTCCAGTATATTATACTGGAGCCAGCAAAGTATACCGGTCCAGCATAACATGCTGAAAGTTCATACACAGGTGCACCGAACTCCAGTATATTATGCTGGACTGGTCTCTGTTGCAGCAAAATAGTGGTTATTTTTCAATGACTTGGCAAACGCTGACTATTTTTGAATGACCAGTCCGAAAACTGGCTAGACCATGCTATTTTGACTAAAATGGAGGCAAGAAGTACATCATCGTTTTGAGAAGCCAGAGTGAGTTTTAGTTTTTCTTCGAGGGTTGCGATAAGTACTAGAATCTCAATCCTTTACTAAGTTGTCATTCTTCTTCTTCTTCTTATTATTATTAATTATTAATTTGAAAAATATATAATTTAGACAAACAGGGAGACGAAATGGGTAAGGGCGAGGGAGGGTGGTAGGTCGGGGTCTTGGGGCTGGGGTGGCGAGGATAGGTTCATCAAAAGAGAGGCTAAAATGGAGGCAAGAATTACATCATCGGTTTGAGAAGGAAGTTAGTCAGTTTTAGTTTTTCTTTGAGGGTTGTGATAAGTACTAGAATCTCAACCCTTTACCAAGTCATCATCATTATTAATTAATAATTTTCTTTTTCAATCCAAATTGATCTCAACTTGAAAAGGAAATTTTGGAGATAATGGGCATTCCTCGACTGAATCTTTCAAGATATCGCCACCTTCAGGTTTCTTTCTACACTTATTTAAAAATATTTAGAACTTTAAATTAAATTACGGAAATCTCCATATTGGTAAATATATTTTATACAACAATTTCTTATTAACTTGAATTAATCCATCTTTTCTCCCAAATTGAACTAATTAAGACGAGTATTCAAGTCTAGAGGTGCACACAGTTAAAGATAATTTTACAAGGTTTGCTTTGAAATCAATCCATGTCTGAAAAGTTCATTTGCTGCATTCCAGAAACTGCATTAGTCAATTAACCGGTGAAGTGGTTCCACAACAAGTAACTCGAGCTCAATTAATGTCTCAACTCTATAGAGAAGCAAAACTATTTTTAAAACGGCTAGGTTTTGGGACTAAGCATTAATATTAAGACACTGATCTAAGTCTCACAAATTTTTGATTTACTTTTTGTGCTTCAATTTAAAAGATAAATGGATAACTCTTCAAAATTTCAGCTTTAATGTTGAGATGATGATTGGATTTAAGATTCCCTGCATTTCATTGGATTTAAGATTTCTATGAACACAAATCAAAGTACTACTAGCAAATGGCTTTTTATTAGTCAAAATACATATATTATCCACGTGTATCTAGAAAAAGGTTGTGAATTTGTAACAAGGTCATATATAATAATCACTATCAATTCCATCCCCATTAATGGAGTGTTGAATTGACTCATAAGTACAAAATACAGACAATTAAATGCGAAAATTCAACATGTGGTAAATTGTTGGAATTCAATATGTTTGGTTTAGACAAAATAGGATAGAATTAAAAGAAAAGTGAAGTTGCCAAAAGTGATTGAGACATTTGTTATCACTAAAACCTTGGGCTGCTTCAGAACTCTAATAGATGTGTTGTCGTACCTAATTGTCAACTAATTTTCAACCACAGATATAAATTTGAGATTGTATCATGCTTTCTTTATTTTTTTTGGTTTTCGCTCGGTGTTCGGTGTCCGCATTATGGCCCGATCAAATTTGGATTATCGCTGAAAAATCCCATATTGGGGGACAAAGCACTCCCTAACAAAGACGACTTCATACCCAGAGCTCGAACCTGAGACCTCTGAGTAAGAATGACAGAGTACTTTCTTTGTTTGACTTACAACTATTATAAGCTATCCAGATAAAAACTACTCTCTCCGTTTCAATTTATGTGAACCTATTTTCTTTTTAGTCCGTGCCAAAAAGAATGACCTCTTTTCCTATTTGGAAACAATTTACCTTTATGCAATGATTTATAGCCACACAAAATATATGTGCTTCATTTTATACCACAAGTTTAAAAGTCTTCTCTCTTTTCTTAAACTCCGTGCTCAGTCAAATGAGTTCACATCAATTGAAACGGAGGGAGTATTACTTCAACTCAAACTCCTAGATAGCGATATCTTAGTGATTGTCCCTGCATCTTCAACACTGCAATATTTTCTTTGAATCCCATTTGCCACTATACTAGTATTTAATAGTTAATATATTTTTGTACGGTATATTTTTTTAGTAAAAAAATTTAATCAAAACCTCACATGGGGACGGGATCGGGGAGAGGGAGGAGGAGAAGAAGGAGGAGGAGAAGAAGGAGGAGAGGGAGAAGGACAAGGAGGACGAATGAGAGGATCTCAACAAAGTGAAACAATGAATAATACTCTCTTTTTTTATTTTTTTGTGATACTAAATTTTGTTTAAAAAAGACTGATTCCTTTTTATATTTAAAACTAATTAAACATTAAATATCTCATTTTACCTTAAGTACACAAATTTGTAGCTACACAAATCCAATATCTAAGGCCACAAGTAGCAAAAGTTTTATAGTGTTTTAAAATCAAAAGTTACATAGGTCTTTGTTCCGTTCTTAATCCCTTTGCCTAGTTAAACAAGTTCACATAAAACAAAAACGATGGGAGTTATAAAAATAAACAATCAATACAAAAAGAATATGTAAAAATTTCACCGAAGAAAGAGACAGATAAATGTGCATAGACCCTTTTTCGCACCCAAATTACCAATAAAGAATTTTTGACGGAGAAAAGGAAAAGATATATTGAAGTTCCCTTAGTATAAAGAAGCTAAATTTGGCAAAAGCGAAAAAGACATGACATGGAAATATCAGAATACATCATGTGCAGTTGCTAAGCAGCATATATTGCCATACATATAGAGCTAGTCATGACTTCCTAAATACAAAAGGTTATCTGGGCGATTTTAGTGATCCAACTTGAGATTTTCCAGAAGGACCTTTGGTTCTGATTAAAGCTCGATACTCGTTGAACGTCGTCGGACGATATAACGCCGACTGGTCCGTGGTCACGAGTTCATCTGCAGGTTTGATGAGTATGTCACCTCCAGGATTGTAGAAGAATGCTAAGGAAACACGTTCTTTGGCCGAATTAACGATCACTCTGTGCTCTACACTCTTGTACATTGCATTACTTAATACCTGTGATCATTATCAAAACTACACTCATAAAATGTACGAGATAAAAATAGACGACCATATTCAGAATTTAAGTGAGAAAAAAGTTAGTACTATAAACAATCACGTAGAATTTCGAAATAATTTTTGATATAAAATATATGTTTGGTTTTACATATACAACAGTGTGTTGAAAAACCAAATTATGTTCGTCAATGAGTATACTAGCTAGCTAGTATGGCTCCCAAATGTGGCGACAACATATTGATATGCGCTAGCTCCCTTGACAGGAACGTCATTATAATCACGCTCATAAGAACCCGGATCGAACAATTCTTTATTCATCTGACCAGAATTATGAATAACGAGACCAATTTAAAATATTGGATTGGCTTCTAGATCCCAAGTGCTATGTCATGGGTCAACTCTATAGCGGCAGTGGCACATAAATAGTCCGTAAGGTGCTCATAGTTTCACTTGACCAAGTCTATAGCGGCTAGGTTGTCAAGTGAGACTTCAGGCGCGGCATGAGCTACTTGTGTGCTGCTACCCCTAGAAAGGGCCCACTAGAAAATGGCAAAGTAATACAAGTATTTAATTTTTTTTAACCTAGCTAGAAAAAGAAGAGATACATTTACCTGAATTTGATCGCCAATATTGACAACAAAGGCATTAGGAACAGGTTTAACAGTTAGCCAGTTATCGCCACGACGAACTTGGAGGCCGGAAACGTCGATATCAGGGAGGAGAAGGGTCAGGCCACCAGGATCAGAGTGGGGAGAGAGGCCTAGGGTAAGATCTGGCTGGGGGCATTTTGGGTAAAAATTTACTCTTAAGCAAGCACCTATTTCGCTGTTTCCTCCAAAGCTTTGGTGTAGATAATCCTCGTTTAATCCGAGGTTTATAGATAAGATTTTGAGTAACTTCTTGCTTAGCTTAGCTACTTCTTGTCCATATTCTGAAATTATTTCCCTGAGAGGTCATAAAAGTAAAAATAAATGAAAANATATATATTACATGTAACCTTTTATAAACAAGCATGGTTTTACCTGCTAAAACTGTACTGGCAATTTAAACACTATCGATAATTTAGAGGCGGAGTTAGGGAGACAGGAGAGGTTAATTTGAACCTTCTTTTGTCGGAAAAATTAAACTACGAATATAATTAAGATTAATTTTTTTTTAATCTATACATATTAAGTGCTGATTTCTGTTG